TGTGCACAAAATAATTGTCAAAAGATACTATTTTAAAGTAAAAAATTAAAATTTTGTAATAATAATTAATTTAAACAAAATTAAATTTCAAAAATATATTGAAAATTTCGAAAAAAAAATTCGAAACAATATTGGAAATTTCGAACAATATTTTGAACTGTACTGAAAGAAAGACGAGAATTTAATAAAAAAGAGCTTGAAACAGTTGCTTTCGAAAATTTGAAAAGTTCGAAAAATTATTAGAACAATATAAATAGATTGWAAATAATAAATAAAATAAAGTAAAAACAAAAAGTCTCGAAAAAAAATAAAATTGCTAGCTGCGTGCCTTATTTTCTGTTCTGTTTTCTCGTTGCTGTTATAAAAATTAAAAAAAAAACAGAAAATATTGATTGGAGGTTCAAAAACAGTAGTAAAAATATTAAAAAAAAGACATTTTACTAAAAATATTTTACTCAAAAAAATTATCTTCGAAAATAAAAATTTAACCAAAAATTGAAAACTCAATAAACTAAAAGAAGAAATTATTAAGACACGAATGAAGTTGGCTTTGTTTCCGCTTTTAAACGGAGAAACGAAAATAATTGCAGAATAAAAAAAAAACAATACAAAAAATTAAGAATCACAGCCGTAAAACTAAAATTATTTGCCAGCAAAAAACTGCAAATCGGCAAAAAATTCCACCCACCTTAAATGAACTCTATGAAATGTTTCTGCGCCGCGCCATACAAGTCTCCACAGTGCTAATCTATTGGTTGGTCATTGTGCCGGTAATTGCGAAATATTTGGAGGACATCAAGTGGATGCGTCGTAACAAATGGACGCGTAAGAAATTGGGCTTTTACGGCATTGCCGCCTTCGCCTTCATCTTCATCTACTTCCTCTGTATGTACGCCTATATGCTATGCAAGCGTTGGGAGCGTAAAATCCTAACAGACATGAAACAGTCCGTCTCWAAGGCAGCCGAGTCGGAGGTACCCTCTGCGGCCACATCAATGGCTACCGTCGCCGAATTGGAGCCACTCGAAGGCAAACGGCCGACGCGTCCGGTGATTTTACCAGCGCCACCTGTACACAGTGCCAGCGCAAATTTACTCAGGACRGAGCAAMAGTTGCAGGAGCAACAGCAGCAACAACAACGACCAACTGGTGCGCGCAGTAAAGTGAAAATTCTGCGTTCAGCGCCCAAAATACCCACAGTGCACCGTTTGTTGCCATCACCCACCACCACCACACTGCCGGTGATTGTAAGTACGTCGTTGGCGCCGTTACAAGAGCAACCCTACAGTAACGAGTTGGAGGTGAAGAATAAGCGCATAAGTCGCACGGAAAGATTGACAACAGAGTTAGCGGATATTTTGCGGCGTTACTATCGCATGAGTACGGGTAACGGTGGCAGTAAAGCGCCCACAACGATGGTGGAGCGAGTGTAAAAGACAAGAAATATTAGCAAATTGCTCAGTAAATTGGTTGTATAGCTTTGGAATAGCTTTAGAATATATATTTATGTATTGTCATTCAATTTGAAATGGTATTTTGGTGGAAAGTTTCGATTCGGAGAGTTTGGAAGATAAAATTTGGTTGTAAAAATACGTAACGGTACTCTTTTTTTACATTTCAATATATGAGTGTTAGGGCGATAACTTTACTTTCGAAAAACAATTTGTGAAAGCTCAAAATGAAAGTTTAGACGGTTGTGTCAAAATCTCTTTACCTTTGACGAATATTGGTCGCAAAAACAATACGATTATTATTACAAGTAGTTAAGACGTTAATATTCTCTTCGAAAAATTATAAGTGAAAGCTCAAAATGAAAATTTGGATAGTTGCAACAAATTATATGAGAGACTTCTACATTTGAAATAAATTGATCAACACAAATGGTACTAATATTGCAAGTAAATACATGTAGCTATACGCAGAATGTGTTCGCAGAATGATGTGTGAAAACTCGAAATGAAAGTTTCGATGGTTCCGGTAAATTTTTGAAGTGGCTTCGAGAAATGCAAAAAGAAATTATAACTATTTAAGAATATTCAATCGAYAATTTTTTTTCGAAAATCRTTATGTGAAAGTTCATAACGAAAGYTTCGACGTTTTTGGAAAATTTTGTAAGTAAATTTCTGAAAATATTTTTTTGTTTTACGAATAACGATCGAAAAACGATTTGTGAAAGTTTAAATGAAGAAAGTTTTCTAGTAAAAGAAGTGAAAAATTAAATAAAGAATCAAGCGATGTTTCTAAATAATAAATATGATAAAAACTTGTTAATACATGATATTTACTTTGAGTGGAATTCAGAAAAATTAAAAAAAATTAAAATAATCATTATGCGCAATGATAAGCAAAAGCTTAAACTTTAAGGGCTATAATTTCAAAAAAGTGACAAATGAATTCAAGAAATTGTAAAATATAAACAATAAATTAGTAGAGAGCGTTTTGCTTAAAAAATTAACAAGAAACACATTATATATACCTAAGTTCTCAGAAAGCTTCCTTGATGTAGCTAATGTAGGCTTAAGTGCCCAAAAAACTGCTTACTATACTCCAAGAATACAAATTTCAAACTTCGGTACAAAAAATTTATATATACATAAATTAACATTATATTTACTAAAATTAACGACATATATCATATATATAAAGCCATGAAAATGAAAGCTCCAGCGAAAGATTTGATCTGAAATAAAATCACAATGATATTTTACAAATACTKCTTATGGTGAGAAAAAGTTTTCAAGTTATGATTAATCAAGTGAAAGCTCCACTGTTCTTACTAGTGAAGGCTCCGGAGAAAACACTGGACTAAGTAGTTTATTAAAATTATATTTAAATTTTTTCCAAGTGTATTTTTTATATGAAARCCAAGCTGCTGTGATAATATCATCAACTTTTGAATTTGTATCTTATTTCTGAAATTTGTTCAAAATTTTCTTAAATTATCATTAAAGTGAATATCATAAAGTGAATTGAGTATAATTTTTTTAWTTTTGAAATTTTTGGCTAAATTTTTTGAAGTTTTCTTCAAAATTGACTTAAAATTGAAATGAATTATATTTTAAAGCCTAGTAGTTAGGTAGAAACAATCGTTCAAAAAGCCTGTGACAAAATTTAAATACTTTTTCTTTGTGAAATTCATTGTTCTGGAATTATTTTCAAATATTCTAAATTTTCAAAATTAAACAAAGATTTTTTAATGTAAAAAAATTATTCCTTACTTTTCTTGGCCTTTTTTTTTACAATGATTATGTATATAACTATAATTATAACTATAACATAATTATAACTTTTCCCTTCTTCTCCACTGCCAAACACCAGTTTTACTAAAAATAACTTTTTTTATAAAAAATGTCAACGTTTATWTATTTCAATTCTTATTTTGGCTTGTCGTTTATTAGCATCTGACGTTTTTGCATTGTAGACATGTTAATTTGCACGTCTTCGCATTGGCCACACTTGATTTGGGTATTCATTAATATTGTACTACACATGTAGATATGCAGATATGGATATCCTTTTTCGGTGAGCAACGTCAAAATCGTTAAAGCAATGAAATGGTAATAAAAATAAAGTGCTTTGATGGCAAATAGAATTAAAAATTAATCAATTATTGCAAAGGYTAATTTGTAATATATGTGAGGTAGCTTAAAATAAGTTAGCGGATATATAATATTTATAGGAGAGTTTGAGGTAGCACGGCTGAGAAAATTTTTAGAAAAATTTAA